TTGTCCGAAGTAAAGAAAGTATTGTAATCACGAAAAATTCCGGGTACCATATTTCAACGAAAATTCAACAATTTGGCCGTTATCGAATGCAATTTAACGATGTTTTTGCTTAACATCTGTACGTAAGGACAGAATAAAGGACTCTTTATCCCCAAACGAATTATAAGCTGATTTAAAATTCATTCATAAGAGATTTTTCGTCGCGTCTCTCTCAAAAATGTGTAGACTCAGAACGTTGAAATTTTGTATATAAGACTGCTGTAACATGCAGTTGTGCAGTTCCCTTTTTGATTGCAATAGGCGCACCAAACGTATATAAATATATATACATACCCACTCTTTTACTCGGCTCAGTGACCTCTTTTTTTTTTTTTTTTTTTGGTAAATTGCGCATTTTCTGCTTTAAAAATGACTGAATTATGTTGTTCTTATCTCCCAGTTAAGGTTTTTATGCCTTTTGTTAACTGCGTGCAATAGTTGTAGAATTATCCACAATTTAAAAGTTGTTTAAGTGCGGCTAAGCCTAATCTTTTACCATAGCAGCCATATTTGTTTACGTTTGAAACTTAGCAGAATAATGAATTAAGTCTTTCTGCACCTTCAGTGTATTTTTGCCGAGTGGAACCAATAGGAAACTTAGAGTTTTGTGCACCGAAATATCTGCCTTCTTGCCTGTTGGCCGAATTGCTTGTTTTTGCGTAGAATTTGTAATTTTAATTCTAAAAATTGTTTTAACTGTATTTGGTGTTTTATGTTTTACCATATCTTTCAGTTTTTAATGAAAATATTTTGAGTTTTTATGTATTATTGCCTTGCTGCGAAATGAGAACTGAATTAACTGAATGATAAATATATCTCTAATGAAATTCGAGAAAATAAGTTTCAATGAAATGCAGGAAAAAATGTGTGTAATTTAATATTCCGTACAAGGACATCATGGGGTGTACATATCAGCTTTGTTTTTCTTCAGAAACGCGAAAGAATATAATTTTACCCCGATTTGAACATTGACCTTAAATACCTTTTTTCTCAATTTCAACTTATAAAAAACTACTTTTATCTGTGCTACTGGAACTTTAATTGTCAGAATAATTCATAGGACGAACCTTACATCAGGATAAATACCTTGCATTGGATTGGTACCAATTATATGGTCATATTTTCATTTCTTCAGCACTAATACCATGGTCAGAGCTACTCATTTTACTCCGGTTATCATTCGTATGAAAGCACTTCGAAGATTTTTCCAGTTTTCCATTCAGAAAGTCTAATTCAATTTTTCAAGCTAAAAAAAGATTTGTAATGTTTGTTTGACCAATTCATGCTTTTCATATTGACTTGCTCAGTGTTTAATTGATTCAGTGAGCAAAGTGAATTTATGAAAATGTTTGAATGAAGAAATGTTTCTGAAATTGCTTGAGCTTTGTCAGACTGTTCATTACAAAATGATCGTTATTTATCAAATTCTACTCTATTTGAACGCAGGTTACCACACAAAAGCAAAATAACAGAAAAAAAAATATTGCAGCAAGAGTGCAAAGTAAAAGTAAAAATAGAAGATGATTTTGTGACGAGTAAATAAAGAATTCGTTTAAAAAAATTTATTCAGATTATTAAAATTATGAACATAAAACATAAGAATAATCCGTTTTTGAAGAAATAAATAGCTTCGGCATTTACTTGTCATGTATCGCATTTCAGATGTCCATAACATGGGTTTGAGCATGCCTATCAATACACTATATCTCGGCTTAAGCACACAAAGTAGCATTTTAATATTTTGCCCCTTATGTTTCACCAAGATATTGTCGCTCGTCATAACTTATGTGTATAAAAAACTGCATGTAACAAATATGTAATAAATTGTATAATAAATTGCGCATTTTGTGTAATATAAAAATAATAATATATTTCTAAATTAAACTGAATCCTCAAAAGTTTGTCGTAGAAAGTTAATCATAAACTTTCCAATGTAAATATAAAAGGGCTGTACAAAACATTTTGCTACATGCATTATATATATAGCGACAAAGCTCAATATCAAGCTCGATAGTTAAATTATAATTGTAAGGAAGTTTCTTGTACTTCACCACATATTTTCGGGACGTACCTGGAGAAACGTTCGAATGGCAATCGGAAGGTCCAGAATTCGAATCCTGGCAAAAGAATCTCTGTTTTTAGCCCAGGAGGGCTATTAGTCTGGAAACGGCATTTTGCGTCGAATCACTAAAAGAGCTGTATCACTTTTCAAAATTGTTGCCACCAAATATTATCGCCCTATATTATATTTAAATAAATTAAATAATGAAGAATCTGCACTAATGTATGTATGTTTCTCGCATTGTGACAAAACGGCGGTACCTAGAGCCTTCAAATTTTGAACCGAATATGAGCACCTGAATGCCCGAATTGGAATTTGTTTTATTGCCTATTTTATATTTTATAAAACTATATATTTTTTTTTTATGAACAAACTCAACGATTTCAAAACGAGCAACGACAACACTGTGGGGGGGGGGGAATCTATCGGAAATTCTAAAGATATGCTGCTTTTAAATGTTTTTTAGCAAAAATGCTCTCGAAATGTGTTTGCGTATGCAAATGGGAAAAAAACGTTCCTTTGGGCAGCTTTCAGTTTTTTTTTTTTTTTTTTTTTATTAATTTTCTTATCACCCCCGCTCATATTTCCTCCACCGATAAATGAAGTTTTTCTGTTCTGCCCATTTAATTTTGATTAGATCTTTTATCTTTTAATAGCGGAAAAGCTGCGAAAGCCAAAATCTTTTTAAAACATACTGGTTAACATTTTTAATTCAAATGAATTTCAAATTAAGCTTTAAATGAAATGAAATCAAAATCAGAAAGAATTAATGTTATTAAAATTAGGCATTTTAATTTACTTTCTGATAATAGAAATAAATAAATAATAAATATCAAATCATTTAATACTTATCAATATACGTACTTATTAAAAATATTTCATTTTTATATTTAAATTTTAATTTTCTTGCTGAAATTTATGATATACTTATATCATAAATTATCGTATTGCCGTAAAAAGAAAATTGTAGAATAGTAAACAAAATTAGAAAATTAGAAAAGTAATTGGAATTTTATCTAGCAAATTTTATTGCAAAATCAAAATGTAGAGGAATGTATTAGAAACATGTTTAAATAATATGGGAGTTAAAATTAACAGGCATACATTTTACATATTTCACATTCTATTTAAAAGCTTCCTCTCCTCCATCCTACTTGCTTTCATTTTATTGAAAAAATCTGATGTATACACCCCATGATTTCCTTGCACGGAATATTACATTATTCGTATTTTTTTTTGCATGTAGTTTAAATTTATTGGATTGAATTAAATCTACTTCGCCGACAGCGCATAAACCACAATAGAATAAATGCCTATTTGTTTACCATAGCGACACTCTGGCGCTAGGTTCACTTAACAGTATTATATTTCGTTCATATTATAACTCAGAATGCACAAAATTTGTATCAATTAAAGAATTATCTAATCGTTGCCACATGTGCTATTCAAATACTATTATAAAGCTAGAACGATGTATAAAAGAAATTAAGCAAACAAAACAAAAAAGAAACAGTTTTTCACAGACGATTGAGTATTTCTCATTCAATTAATTCAGTTCTCACTTTTGCGATAGGCAAAAATACATAAAAACTCAAAATATCTATATTAAAAATTACGAAGTAAATCTTAAACACTTATTTCCTCGAAAAAATTCCAGAAAGGATTAAGCATGATTTAATTGGAAATATAAATTAAGGCGTTATCTTTGTTGTTGCGATGCTAAGTTTCTCTAGATTGGCAACAAATCCACTAATCTGCTGTTTCAAATGTAAACAATCAATGGCCGCCATAAAAAAAAGGCTTAGCGGCACTCAAACAACTTTAAAATTCCTGATAATTCTAAAAATATTGCATACAGATTTACTAAACGCATAAAAACCTTAACCGCAAGATAAGAACAACATAATTCAATCATTTTTAAAGCAAATAATGTACAATTTACAAACATATAAGAGTAAAGAAACTGAGATCACTGAGCCGGGTAACAGAGTGGATATATATATAAATATATTTATATACGTTTGGTGCGGCCGATTGCAACCAAAATACGAGGTGCACATTTACATGTTAAAGCAGTCGTATATACAAAATTTCAACGTTCTGAGGATACTTGTTTTTGAGTTATGAGAGATACGTACGTACGTACGTACACACGTTCGTACAGACGCCACCAAAAATTCTCTTCAGAATTCATTTTAAAGCAGTTTTATAATTTTTTTGGAGGAAAAGAGTCCTTACATACAGATATCGTACGTCTGTCGTTACGTACAGATATCACGCAAAAACATCGTTAAATTGCATTCGAAAGCGGTCAAAGTGGATATTTTCGTTGAAATACGCTGCGTGAAGCTTTTCGCGATTACAATACTTCCTTTTTTACTTCGTACAAGGAAGTAAAAAGATATTAAATAATCTTCAGTTAATTGCTACATCAAAATGTTTCAAGTGAAATTTATGAATGCTTCGTAAATTTCTGTACAATTTTACAAAGGTAGATAAATACTATATTATATATGAAAATATGTATGACTTCCAAAAACCACTGAGATCAGGATTATTCACTTCAAGAGAATTTAACTTTTATCTTGATTAGAAATCTTTTTAAACTTCGGAATTCCAGGGTAAAAAAAGGTAAATTCGCTTTCGTCACCCGTTGAAGCAAAGGTTTCCTAAAGCCAGAAAATAATCAAGAGCTTTCAGAAGTGATATTTAAATTCAACTACACAGTAGAGATTGTTAAGTTTCTTTAAAGCTGTTTTAGGAGTGTTGGCAACCGCCGTTGATTTCCCTATCGCATGACGTCATTTTATTCTTCAGGGAATTTTTAACATTAAAGCAATGCTATTTTGTATAGAAATATTAGTTTTTTATCTTCATTTAATTTTTATTTTACTTTTAGGAAGCTCCAAGAGTCTTTATCAACAATATTATCGTCCGCTTTCATCGATCATTGGAACTTGAAGAAGATGAAATCAAAACTATCATTTGTCGATATCCTCCACCCTTAGCGCCTACTCAAGTTCCGATAGTTCTGTAAGCACAAACATTATTACATTTTAAGAAAATTTATTATAAAGTACTACAAAATAATTTAACTAAAGTAAAACTAATTAATTATAAATAATTCATTATAATTTTTGAATCATTAATTATATTTTTAATTAATTGATCATAAAATCAATTAATTAATTTTATTGATTATATTAAATATATACTTACTGATTAGATATATTTTACATAAATCTCTTCCAGTATTATATTTTATTGATTAGCTCAAATGCTTTGTAGCAACTTTCAAAAGATAATTCATGTAAAACTCACTGCTTATAAGAATGTTTATACTAAAATATTTCATTTTTATATTTAAATTTTAATTTTATGTGTGGGCTCAGTGTTAAATATATCTGATGCCATTTATTGCAGAGAAACACGTAGAAATATTAACGGAAATTTCTGCTTTTATGCTCACTACAAAGAAATCATGAACATTACGTCAAAAGCAGCCATTTTCATCCTAATATAGAATTCATGTCAAAGCTTGCAATGTTTACTAATCCAATCCTTAACTAGATTTGATAAGCTGTAGTTAGAAGTTTCTTATCACTAAAATGACAGAATAATCTTCTTAAAGTTATCTGCATATCAGCTTTCTTTGTGATCTAAAATATTGGGTTGGCAACTAAGTAATTGCGGATTTCATTCATAGATGGTTTCAGTTGAATTTTTAGGGTTGCAGACGTAGTACAAACGTAAAACACATTTTGTTATTTGATAGTTGGCAATTCAGCTGTCTATCAGTAAAAACGTTTTTGATCGGTTGCGTAGTTTTCGTTTGGCGTTCGTTGAAAAATGGAAAATCAAAGGAACATTTTCGTCATATTTTACTTTTTTTATTTCCGCAAAGGGAAAAACGCCATCGCAAGCTCAAAAACGTTATGTGCTGTTTATGGTGACAAAGCCTTAAAAGAACGGCAGTGTCAAAATTAGTTTGCCAAATTTCGATCTGGTGATTTTTCACTCAAAGTTGAAAAACGCTCTGGTCCTCCAGTTGAAGTTGATGACGACCTAATCAAAGCAATAATCGATTTGGATTGCCACAGTACAACACGTGAGATTGCAGAGAAGCTTCATGTATCCCATATATCCATTGAAAATCACTTAAAACAACTTGACTATGTTCAAAAACTCAATACACGGGTTCCTCACAAAATGAAGGAAACGCATTTAACGCAACGCATTAACAGCTGCGATTTGCTAAATAAACGTAATGAAAATGATCCATTTTTAAAACGACTGATAACTGTCGATGAAAAATGGCTTGTTTACAACAATATCAAGTGGAAAAGATCGTGGAGCAGGCCAGGTGAACCAACTCAAACAATCAAAAGCTGATATCATCAAAAGGTTTTGTTAAGTTTGGTGGAATTAAAAGGAATTGTCTACTTTTGAACTCTTACCACCCAACCGAACGATCAATTCTGATGTCTACATGAACAACTAACGAAATTAAACATGCAGTTGAAGAAAAGCGGCCCGAATTGACCAAATCGAAAAGGTTTGTATTCCCTCATGACAGTGCAAGGCCACACACATCTTTGGTCACTCGGCAAAAATTATTGGGTCTTGGTTGGGATGTTTTGCCACATCCACCATATAGTCCTGACCTTGCACCATCTGATTACTTTTTGTTTCGATCTTTACAAAACTCCTTGAATGGTAAAAATTTCAATAATGATGATGATGTCAAATCGTACCTGATTCAGTTTTTTGCTAATAAAAACCAGAAGTTTTATGATATAATGCTGCCTGAAAGATGGCAAAAGGTCACTGATCAAAATGAGCAATACATTACAGAATAAAGTTATTTAGTTCCATGGAAAAATTGTCTTTGATTTTCTAAAAAAAATCTGTAATTACTTAGTTACCAACCCAATAGTATACAAAAGAATAATTCACAGAGTGCGTTATTTGTTTGTATGGATATAGCAGTCCATAAGTTCGAATATGGGCAAGCTAGAAAAACAATCAAGATGTTTCTTTTTAAGTAAATTATGTTGATTATATTTTCTATCAGGAATATTCACTTTGCAACAGCTCGTGAAATTAAATTAATTAACATATATGTGTTTGTGTATAACATAATTTAATATATTAATGTTAACCAGTTTCATTAACTACTACAGCGAAATGAATGTTACCGTTATTTATATAGACATATTTCATTCAGAAACGTATTTTTCTTTCCATAGGCCGCCGCCTACTGCTGCTGTACCAGTTCTCGTTCCACCTAAATTATCCGAAGTAGAATTGCTTCTTATCATTTGTGCTTTGCTGTTCCTAACTCTCTTACTACTGGGCATTGGCATTGCTTATTATTGCCTTAAGAAACGGAATATCAAAGTTATCAAAAAGAGGAAAGCGATATCTTCTGGCCCTGGATCTGAAATTACCAAACTCAGCGGATCTACTATGGGCACACTGTCAATGTTCGATCCTATTCGTATACCAAGAGCTATAGCACAATCTACTTCAGATTCAGAAGCTGCCTTGCTTACATCTTTGTCTTCTCAGAATGGATCGGGAGATCATAGTGATACTATACCTTCAGATTACCCGAGCGAATCTCCTTCTTCAGTGAATTCCGATGTTGAAGAAATAGAAGGTGGGAGAAGGATGATGATAAATGATGTATCTACAATGCGGGGTGATCACTTTAGATATGAAAATACTGCTTTTATCCCAGATGAAATGAGCAGTATAGTCTCTGGCTATCCTGAAGATCAGGAAAAAGCAAACAGTGTGTCATCTATCCCAGTTCAGCAAATAATGAAACCAATTGAACCACCGAAAAAGAAATTAAAAACAAAAGTGGCAAAGGAGCAAGTCTTAACAACAATATCTGAAAGAGAAGATGCCATGTTCCAACGTGAAGCTCTGCAGAAAACATACGCTGCTATGAAGTCTGTTCCCCATCAGCTTAATCCGCCTATAAACTATACACAAACTTATACACGAGAAGCACCTCCCAAACCCCCCTCATCTTATGCCCCTTCTCTTTACGGAAGCATTCCTGACAATGATAATCGCTCTGAAGCGGAACTCATTGAAAATATTCCCGTGGCTACTCGTAGACCACCTTCATCGTATGCGCCATCTTTAAAAGGCAGCATTCCAGATAATGACATATGGTCTCATTCTGAATTGGAAAGTGAAGTTGCTGTGATGCCCTATGTGAGAAAGCCGAAACGTGAAACAGCTACGGTAACAGATTTCTACTTGAGTTCCCAAAAAACTACAGATATAGAAGATGATATCATGAATTTAAGAAAAACTACTACTCTTCAACACAAGCCTAAATCTCCGCCTCCTCCGCCCCCGCCACCTCAACCTACTGCTGTATATGATTCACCTTCTGACGTTGAGAGCGTAGAACCATATGTATCAAAGGCTTTACTTCCCAGAAAACCTAAAATTGTTGTCCAAAATATAGATGACTTATATTTGACGACAACAACAGAAGTCCATGCAACAGAAACTGTTACAAAAACTACTAAAGATACCATCGCTCAGCATGTGAGAACACCACCTCAGTCAACTGAGCCTCCATCTTCAACTGGAAGTCCATCTACAAACTGGGATGTTACTATTAGGCATTACCCAAATCAACCACCTTCGGCTTATGATGAGCCAGATGATAAAGTTTTAGAAAGACGCTGGGATGCTTATTCAGAAGTGAGTGAAAAATATCGTGATGCTGAAAGTACGACTACAGAAATACCGGCTCAACAGAGACCACGTCATCCCTCACAGCATTCGACAAATACAACTCCTAGGAATTCTCCTTCCCCTTATAACACGATGCATAAAGTCACCAAGACAATTCCTCATCCTACTTACACTAGCATAATTTACAAAGTTTTAGAGCCTCCTCCAGTCGAAGGTGTTGAAGAGTTGACCCCAACAATCAAAGAAAAATGGCGCACTGTTATCACCACAGATGAAACCTTCAGATACTTAGTTCAAGAAGCTACAACTGTTGAAGAATACATTCGTATAACGAAAGATTCAAGATATGAAAAATTGTTTGACACGAGGACGTGGAATGTCATAATAAGAGCTCTGAGCACTCCTGACGATCGATACCCACCAGCACAAGTGGAACCACCTGCAGATGTTAGAAATCCTCGCTATAAAAAGAAAAATGAGTTCGAACCTCCTCGAAATCGTCGTAGCTCGTTACCACCAGTGACAGAATTTTCTCTAGCGAGAGATGCACCTCCTTCAAGCTGTGGCAGTGTTCGCTCTAGAAGGACTTCAAGGTCTGGTTCAGTGCCTGAATATGACCTGAGATCCATGACAGAAGTTGATGTTGACTTCGCTCATGCAGATCGTGAATCTCTTTGGAGTGTCGACACAGGTTACACTTATAAAACTTCGAGAAGTCTCGCCGAGAGATCCACATCAGAGTTCCTGGAAGAAGTGCCAACAATTATAGCTGAACGCCCACATCAGTACAGAGGTGTTCAACAGCAATCTCATTACTACGTTGAACAATCGGCAGCTGAGTTCGTCCGATCACATGATTCTTATTTGAGAGATTCCAACTGTAGGGAATTCGGTGAAGATGACTATCTCCATAGAGAGCATTTACCACCAACACCCGGTGGTAAGAACTCTACAAGACCACGTTTCCTAGAACGATCTTCAACTGAATACTTCGAAGACGTTCCAACGTTGTCTCTGCCTGATTTAAGACAGGCAACAACAGAAGTGTCTTCTGTAACAGAGCGGCGAATGGACAATGTCGTTCAAGAACTTCGCCAAAAGGGAAAATTTTCTCGATCAGAAGTCATTATTGATACTCCAATCATGAGGGCTATTGATAGAACCTCAAGCATTGGTGAGAGAGAAGAAATTAAGTCTGTAACAGAAACTGATGTTTTAGATTGGAAAAGATGAAAAAGTGTCCTTTAATTGTTAAAAAAATCAACTCAGTTTCTACTGATGAGACATTGCAGGAGAATGTAGGTAGCAATTTGTAAAATAATGCTTATAACAATATGTATCTAGTGCCAGCTGTAATGTCAGAAATGCTTACCTCAATTTCTAAGTAACATAATAATAATTCCATATTTGTTTCTTGTATTTGCATTTTTGTGTGACATACGTTTCTTGCAGAAATATATTTTCAGTGTTATTGATAAAGTAATTGAATGAACTTAGATTTCTAAACAACGTTATAAGATTATTCAGGTTGACTAACCGCTACTTATGTAATTACTTACCTTAAAAAATTATACAAGCAGAAGGGTATTTTTGACTTCTAAAGCATAATAGTTTTCAATGTATCAAATGCAGCTGGCACCGTGAATTTTGTTCGTTTTCTCTTGATAAGGTTCATTGTGTGGTGTCTATGTTTTAATTTAAAAGAAAAAAATATATTCCATTCTGCTGTATTCCTTTAAAAGTTTTCTGGCATTTTTATATTAATATGTTTCTAACACAATTTACACATGTGAAATTGTGCTTGAAAAAGCAGCAATGAACGTAAAGTAATTATTTTACATTCATTGCGAAACATTTTTCTAACATCAGGCAAGTAAACTTTTTAATTTCTTCTGAATCCTTAAAATTTGACGTTAAAAATTCCATTATTTTTACAATTCAGATTATCTCAACTCTGTAAGACGGCTCTCACATAGTGAATTTTAAAAATCTAAATTCGCAAGCAATGTTTTCAAAGCCGCGTTTTCAAAATGTTTACTGTACTTAAAACATTACCCATAAAATTTCATAACCATGGAAGAGATAGATTTTTAAACTTTCAATCTAATTTTCTTTCATAGTAAATTACCTTTGAATTGCATCTCTAAATATTCAGATCCGTCAAAAGAAAAGTATTAACGTAATAATCTGTCAAATAAATTAACTTAACATGACGTAAACTATATACTTAAAATATGAGGTTAAAAATACATTATTTTTGAAATTCAGATTCTGTCAACGCTGTAAGACAGCCCTAACATAGTGAATTTTAAAAATCTAAGTTCGCAAGCATTCTTAAGTTGATTTTGTAAGCCGCCTCACCAAAATGTTTATTGTACTTAAAACATTACGCATAAAATTTCATAGCCATAGAAAAGCTAGAGTTTTTAAACTTTTTTTTAACTTTCAATCTAATTTTCTTTCATAGGAAATTATCTTTGAATTGCATCTCTGAATATTCAGATCCGTCAAAAGAAAAATGTTAACGCAATAATCTATCAAATAAATTAACGTAACGTAAACTATGTACTTAAAATTTGACGTCAAAAATTACATTATTTTTAAAATTCAGATTCTGTCAACGCTATAAGACAGCCCTAACATAGTGAATTTTAAAAGTCTATGTTCGCAAGCATTCTTAAGTTGTTTTTGCAAGCCGCGTTTTCAAAATGTTTATTGTACTTAAAACATTAAGCGCAAAATTTCATAACCATGCAAAAGCTAGATTTTTTTAACGTTTTCAACTTTCAGTCTAAATTTTCTGTCATAGGAAGTTATGTTTGAATTGCATCTCTGAGTATTCAGATCCTTCAAAAGAAAAATTATAACTTAATAATCTATCAAATAAATTTACGTAACGTAAGCTATATATCACATAATTTGTTTCTCAATTATGTCTCATATTTTAGGATTCGTAGGAAATGCCATTTTTCCCATTAAATGTGAACTTTTGATTACGCTATAATTTAAATATATTTTCATTCAATTAAATTGAATAATTAGCACAGAATGTCATCAAGCATTGAACCTTATCGACAGATTTTTGGTAAATGTTGATAGATAGTGGAGATTTGAATGATTATGGAAGTTCATATGAGAACTTTATTAACTTAGTAATGGGATTGGACGACTAAAGAGGTGCAGGTCGTGCTAACTAATCCCTTATATCTGTGGATATCATCATAGATATATTTCATAGTTATTAAAAGAAACATTTGAAACTACTTTCTGTTAAGGATTTCATTGTATTTTGCTGATGAAAAATCGCACCTCTTGATTTTGGTTTTTTTATTGTGATGTGTACTTAGATATTAAAAATTCTCTATTTCAAATAATAATTTATCAAAATCCCTTTCATTGAAAATACGCTTATTTAATATAATAATAACTTATTTCATTGCGTCAAGTTCAATAACGCTTATTAGGTGCTTAAATGTTTATATAAGTATTTAATGACTTCAACGAAGAAAACTTAATTAAATTCTATGAGTTTTGTTCATTATATCTTGCTCTGTTATTTCATTTAGTTTTGTAAATGTTTTTCACGTGTAAATAAAGCAAAAAATGTTGTAATACTTTGAAATCTGAAAATAAGCATAATTTAACACATTTTTAATTGAAAGTATTTTTAATTTTGCTTGTTCTGTTATCAGAATTTACGTAAAATGAGAGAGATTTTTATGCCAATTCTCTCGCTCCTTTTCTTTAAAAAATTATTACGCGAACTGAAGTTCATCCAATTATGCATTGCCAATTATATGAAAATACAGTAAAAATAATATAAACATAAAAAAAAAAAGAATTTAAAGAGTCACGACTAAAAATTTATGAGCTGCTGCTAGTTCAACCAGCCTCAAAACTGCCATTTTAACTGTATTTAAAAAGGTATTTTTTATATTCACACTGCCAATGTATTCTAAATGTTTTAAAATTCCCATTAATTGCTTTCGTTAAGACATATTTTTTTAAACATATCTATTTATAAATGATTTTTTTGCTTTTTTCAAACGATGGAAGACAGTAAATGCTGTTAAAACTGTACTTTAAAATGCTATAAGATGTGCATTGTAAAATGCTGTGAGAAGTGTACTTTAAAACTGAAGCTATGACCGCAAAAAAATTACATCTTATAAGAATGTTGTGATAATAAAAGGCCGTTATATGATACTTAAGCAGAATCTTAAAAAGTCTAGTAAAGTCAGTCTTCAGTTTGTTATTTAGAGAGTAGTAGTAAATGAAGTTCGTAAATGCTGCATAGTTGTAAATGCTATTGGACAGGAAGAGGAATTAATTCAAAAGTTATGCTTAATTATTGTGCAATTTCGTAGTAATCGATTATAAATACTGCAGCAGAAAGATAAAAGGTTAGTGGAGAATTTTAGTTCTTTAATTGCCTAAAAATTAGGAAAGCCAACAACCTTGTGTTTGGCGTAAATTTAGTCGTCACATTTATATCCTTCGGCAGTAAAGTGAAAGAGAAGGTTGTGCCATCTCTCGGCAAAAATAGTAACAACACTGAAAAATCAATTGAATAGAATTTTGAAAGCGTTAGGAAGGAGTGGATTGAACTTAAAATCATTAACTAAACAAGACAACTCTTTGTGAACGTGAAAAGCTTCAAGAAAATCCAGTTCATGAATCGAAATTTGTGAGTAATTTTTGCAGATCCAAAGTCAAAATTATAGTTAAATTTCCGGCAATGATTAGCAACTGAGTCTGACTTGTTTGCGTCAGCTGCTTTCCAATCTTGCTTCTTTGCTGCTGATAAAGAGGCACCTGTTAGCTGTTTGCCTTCGAAATCGTTTGAGACCTTGACTTAATATGTGCCGAATACAAGGTTCTTACTTTGTTAATTTTGTGTTTCACTTTGGAGTTTTTCTCTTCTGTTTGATTCTTTAATTATCTATCAAAATTAAATATTTGAAATGAACTAAATCTTAGAATGCATTGCTTATTTCCAAAATCACATTCGCAGCTTTTATAATATTATAAAGTCCACCATATAATATTCTTTATCTAAATTTCCTATTGAATAAAATTAAACTCTAAAATTATAACTTTTATTATCCTATAAAATTTATTATCCTATATCCTGCAATATGTTGTATCTAAACGAAAAAATGAAGTTTTTCTGTGGTAAAGATCTTAAAATAAAATCATTTTTTATTATATGGTCATATTTTATATTACTATTAATAACGTCTTATTTTCTTTAGCATTGTATTTTCTGTGGTTCATTATAAAGCATTCTAAATGTGATATATTTGTTTCAAGTTTAAAAAAGGGCTTTTTTCAGTTTTCCAGATAGATACGTATCTATACTCTTCCTATCTGGTCATCTGAAAACTTTGCGGTTTTAAGGTTTTCTAGTCATTTTGGTTTAGGTTCTAATGCACTGTTGATAATTTCTTTGAATGTTCTTTTCTTTAAATGTATATCAGTTGTTTCAAACTGTTTGTTTTAAACTATGAATTCCGCAGTGAAATCCAGCACTAAACCTGGAACAGAACAATAACTTAAATGTTAACCTTGTTTTTTATTAAAAAATCTAATAAAGTACTTGTAAATGTGTTTTGTGTTTCGTTATTAAATTTACATTTTCTATTCACTAATTTTCAGTCCTTTACTTCGTGACATGTTATACATTCATCAAGCGGCAAGTGAAAAATTGTGTTTTTCGTAGAAAGGAAGTAGAGAAGCTGCTCTGAATGATTTGTATTTGTACACAGGTATAGTACACTGCACTTGAGAATGTAGGAGAATCAATATGGTATGCGATGTTGCTTGTCTTATTGTTAATTAAGCTGAAATTTAAATTTTTATAATCTGTTGATTACCTTGCGCTTTTTAGAGGTTATATACTGATCAGCCAAAATATTATAACAACCCTCATAATACTGTATCGCTTCAATTTTTGCACGCAAAACAACTGCAGTCCATCATAGCAGAGATTCTACATGCCCTTGGAAGGTATCTGGAGGAAATTGTACCAAATATTGCAAGCATAACCCACGCAATTTCCATAGCTTGCAAACAACAAATTGGTGAACTGAAGCTTCTTGAAGTCACAAATGTGACCAATCTGCTAAATTAAGTGGTGAACACATTAATAAGAATTCACTATACATATACCGCAAGCTATTGCAACACAGTTCCGGTCATGGCACAAGAGTGTATCACACTGTCCGCACCTGCCATTATGTTCCATCGATCCTAGGATGTTCGATCCTAGATGTAGATTAATATCCTCCAAATATATTACCTGGACCATTGGTCTATTATCGTCCTGTAATACGTATGCTAATCAGCTGTTCGCCTAGGAGACAGCGTAGCCTGACACAGCTCTCGACATGATGTAAAAGAAATCTTGATTCATCCGACCAGACAACTTTTTTCCATTGTTACATGATTCAGTCCAATAGTGACTAGACCATGCTACGCTAGATAAAAGCTGTCACATGGAAACCATGCAACAATGAGAAAAGAACAATCTCAGTGTACTTATAGCTACAGTAGCCCACTTTTAGTTATAAACGCTGATGATTCTGGATTACCAGAGGCACTTAAGAAGAGCATCTGCTATAGAATACTACATCTAATGGAATGTAGTGGATTGTGCTGTCAGATGCAGTTATATTTGGACCTGTACTGTCCAGTTGGTATAGTGGCTAGTGACGTAAACCACTGAGCTGGCTTCCGGCCCAGGTATATAAAATAACCATACAGGATCGAAAAGCAAACGCAACAGGAGTTTCCGCTATCAGCCAGCCATAGCCCAGACCCTGGTCGACATAAATAAAAGATAAAATTACAGAATCATAGTGTAATACAGATCAAAATTACAGCTTATTCCCCAATGACTGTGCGTAGTACATCAAATGCAATACATTCAATCAAAACTTTCAGTAGCACAGCAAATGTTGTTAAAAAAACATTACAAAAAATCCCATTATACAATGTTATACTACAGACGGATACCATATTATTGCCCTATTGAAATATAAAAAGGATATCCTTAGGTTCGCTGGATGTACTTCCGCAGCTCATTATTAGTTAACCCACAAATTAATAATGGGAAACAAACCACAAGATGTCTTCATATTAGCGAGAAGACGGGTAAGTATGGACGATGGCACTATTATGCCTATATAATATGCTTGCATACAATATTATACATAGACAATAAAATACAATAAAACCATACATGATACATGCAAATATTATTAGTAATAAAGTGTTTAGGTACAAATACTAAAACAATTCATAGTACCAAAATACGTATTTGCAGTGCAAATATACATACATAGTATTAATACATATAATGAAAGGAATGTTCTTCCCATTGCTGCGGACGATTAAAAACACAGAAAATATGCTGATATGCAATTCAAGAAAGCACCATATTTCAGTTACTGTACAAATTCCGACATTATAAAAAAACACTATACAGGAAATTGTGATTAAATTCTAATTCTTTCAGCATGACGTACTTGCAAGCAATTTCATGTGTCTTTACAAATATAATTAGTAGTAAAATTTAACATACTAAATGCAGTAAAATACATTATACTATATTGCTACTATAATTTACGTAATTTTCAAAATAATACCATGTAATAAAATATAATTTTTAGTATTAAAATGTAATATAGTTTACATAATTTTCAAGATGTTATCACTTAAATACATTACATAGCATTAGCACAAAAATTACAGGCACTTAGTAATTAAAAGTGGTTAACAATTTTCCGGTTTCAACTATTTAGTACAAAATTGTGAGTATCATCAAATGTGCAGTTAGAATTTGTGAGTTATTCAGTGTATGTCACGGTAACACTTCCTCTTATAGCGTGAGATCTAGAAGCAGTAATAGCCTTACCTAAACTAACATAAGATATGCTTAATTTACAGACTATTAAAATTACTGGCTCGCTTCAAACATTTCTACTCAGTTTTTAAGAATTTGCTTTGCGCGAGTTTGTTTCGTTTTAAATTTTGGAACCATTGCATCCAAAAGCTATAATTAGGCTGTCTTACAGTTGTTCCCAATTTCTGTGGACAGGAGAATACCAGGTGATCATGGTCACCTTCCTTACCACACTCGATGTTTCCATCCACGCTGATTCCAAACCTGCTGAGGTAGGATGGAAAGGACCCATGTCCCGTAAGGTAATGCATAAGGTAGTTACTGGATGTCTTGAGCTATTAATGACCGCATTCAGCTTGTCACATGCCCATTAGATGGTATTTGTTCCATCTTTAGTACTCTACTCCATTCGTTCATTACCTATTTTGCCCACGCTGACTGTAATACCGATGGACCTGGGCTCGAATCTTGGAGAAGATATTTATAGGTGTATAGTGTTTGTGTTGCATTTTGAGTGCCTGTACTCAAAATACACGACCAGCCGAAAGTCTTCCCGAAAGGGTATGATAAGGGAAGTAGCATGGATACCCTCGGACATCCCCCTGGTTGTTTTTCCTCAAAAATGAGGCGGAAGCATAATAATTATCTAGGTTCAACAATATCAGCTCGATCAACTCGTACTACAAAAAGGTGCTGGCCTAGCTTCTACCTGTACCTGTCACTAGAGCCACTGGCAACCAAATACTTGGCTTCACCTGTCTAAATAGTCAATAAGAAGAAGGACAAAAATAAAAACACGTTTGCACTGCTTGGAGATCGATTACGGGCACATAAAATCCTCATAATTTGCACTATATATACAGTTCACCAGGGAAAAGAGGCACCGAAACCCAGCTTATACAGAAGCCATACACAGTTAAACGCCCTTGAAGCCATCCTAAGAGAAACAACCTCCCCGGTATAATGGCAATCTTAATAGTGCATCTTTTATGTTTAATGAGTTTATGTATTAATATCTAAATTACTGACGAAAAACTCTTTTCAAATATTGTTCGTTCACAAGAACATTAATCTTAAATTTGGATTCCAGCAATTTACAATAATAATAAAAAAGGAATTAATATGAATATATTTTGTAGTACTCTTTATTATAACTCGATTGAGTTGAAAACCCTTTCTGTAAAAGGGTGGGAAAATGCACCCTTATTGTATTGCCTTTCCTTAACTGACTTTAACAGGTTAGGTTAGGCTATTTAATTACGGCAAAGCCCTCGAGGGCTATCTGCCTAAAGGGATGGATGCCTTCGTGGAGGACTTTCTAAGGGAAACTTGCTCGTATACACGTTGCACATGGGGAAAACCACGAAACACCCATGCAGCTAGCCCGTTCGCGGGATTCGAACCTCGCATCGAACTACCAGTGTACAGAGTTACCGCTCGGCCGCTGGGGAACGACTTTAACAGAGTTGAAGTTTATTCTAAAATAATTTTATACGTCCATAAAGCTCGTGAATCAATGAAAGTCATAGCGTTTCATGACGTTTTTCATAGCTTGAAAGCGATACTTAGGATATGTATTATATTTATATATAGCCTTCTTCTAATACAGGTATTTTGACATATAATCGGACATTTTCTAAAATGACATGGCAGTTTTGTTCCATATTTCGATTCTACGAGTCAAATTATGTCTAAATATTAAATTTTGTAAAATCTTGGGCGAAATTTAAGGAGAAACTCAAAAATTTATCTTGGCGCATTTTTTTCACTTGCGCCAAAGTTTCTTTTAAGTGGTCAATTAAAACACCTTAGCGCCTTTCTTTAACAACGAAGAAAAGTTACATTAAATGCTGCCCCTCTAAATCGATACATTTTAACATACTTTTGTAATAGTATCGATATTTCTAATCCACAAAATATTTTATTTATTTCGTCAAATATTTTATAACTTTTTATACGCAGTTTTGAGAATGCTAACTTCTATCTTTAACTGTTATTCAATTTAGCCTCTTCTATATACTTAGTAGTGTTAAGTATCGTTTTTCTTCAAAACCGTCAAAATCTGGGCTAATTTTAGTGATAAATCACAAAATGATGATACAAATAATGGTGAAAGTTTCACCTGAAGAACCACTTCAGTAACTTTTTGAAAGAACAGTTCTTGAAATGATGCTGCACAGGCTTTTAAACTTCCATTAAAACAGGAAAATTCCATCATTGTATTTAGTCTTTTTTGAACTAATGATCGTTCCTGTGAACAAAAGAGTGAATTTAAATGTATGGGACTGAAACTTTGTATCTTATTTAATCGTCTGTCATTTTTTGCAGTAGAAACCGGATGTTTCTTTACATGTTCTTAGAATTTTTCACTTTTTTTTACGTGTTTTCTTCCACAAATACCAAAATACGAAAATTGCTCTATTTTGCATGTAGTCATCCTAATTTAACCATACAAAATGATAATATTAAAATGAAATATTTCTATTATTTCTTTTCTTTAAATTCTGATCATTTTTCAGCATACTCATTTCGTTTTATTTCCAGTTAATTAATAATTTCTAATTAATAATACTTTGTACAAGGAAGTAAAAAGCACAATTTAAACTTTTGTATCAAATACGAATGATGTCCCAGTTTTGTGAGAAATCTTTATTACTAATAAAGAAAAGTGTTCAGACGCTTAGAGAATTTTAGTTTCTAGGTA